GCCAACTGGGTGGGTGTGGCCAGCTTAATGCTGGCATGCTTTTCGCATTGGATAGACCGGGTTGAAGCAATGCAGGTAGACCTGGCCGAAGCAATGTGGGGCTGGCCCCTTACATTAGCAATAGCGATAGCTATTTTCCAGGATGGTCTCACAAGCCAGATCCAACCACATAGCTGGCCGAATCTGGCCCACAGGCCTTGACTTTGTCACCCCTGCTCTAGAAAAAATAAGAAGGAAAGAAAGTGAAATGGAAATAAGGTATGCAAAATCTGTGCTTGGATGCGCTAAACCTTGAAAAAGCTTTTTAAATTTAAATTGACTATCAAAAGGTCACCACTATTCCTGTCACACAGAAAGGGTTCCAATCTCAAAAAACTAGAAACTGGAAGACATTGAGTTATAGTCCTGTCTTAGGCATGAAAGGCAGCTGGGTGACTTTGGATCAGTCACTCTTTCTCATCCTAAACCATGTTGCAGAATTGTGGGAAAATGGGAGGATGTTGATATTAGGTATGTTCCCTGTCTTGAGTTATATATAAAACTAATAAAGTGGGAAATAGATAAAATCAGACATTTTGGACACCACAAGCTAGACGTTTTCTGGAAGAACAAGAATGAACATCTTCCTTTCTTTAAAAAAAATGGTGCTGAAAGTTTATTACCAATAACATTTATTTTGGCGCTCCAAAGAATTGGCAAAACGAGCCATTTTCCAATTTTGTCCCTTTTCCAGGTACCATGTGTTGTGTAGTTTTCTGTTTTAAATTTACCTTTATTAGAGGTATCCATTAATGGTTGTCATTAGATTAAAATACTACACTTCTATTTTGTGAATAATTTGTCTTTTTGGGAAACAATTTTATCACATATTTCTCTCATAATACTGTGAAAGTTTGCTATCTTTCACACCAATTAATCTCCAGTGACATTTTTAGTAGTCCCCTAGAATAAATCGTATAAATATACCTGCCTGGGAATATTTGGTAGCTGTCTGAAAACTTTTATGAAGTGTTTGACATGGATATATGACTGTTTAAAGTAGCCTATTTGCCTCTTTTTCAGTAGACCGAGACATACAGGATCCTGAAGACTGCAGCCTCAGCTGTTAATGTCTGGGGAAACTTTGGAGGAGAACCGTAACGCTTTATTATAGTACAGTGAAACATAACCACCCCACTAGAATAGACTTGGGTATAGGTCTCATTTCTATCCCGCAGCTTGTTTTGGTTCTGCTACTTTTGGTGGCGAACTAAAGTAAGCAAAGGAGCAGGTGTCCATGCATATTGGGTGGAAGGGGAACTGGAGGACACGGGCCTTAATTTTCTTCATCCAGCGTTAGGCTAGAATTAATAAATCACTGTGTATTACTTGGGACAGAGGTCTTTGATATCAACTGGGAGTAAATTTTTCCATTCCTCCCTGCAGATTTTTTTTCTTTTTTTAAATTATAAAAAAGTTTTTTATTTTTAGACAAACATAAGACAAACAGACATAGACACACACAAAATAAAAACCCTTCTCCAATTACTTACAGTGTGTCAATTGGTTACAAAGCTTTTGTGCTTTCTCACAATCGTATTCATTTGCAATTTACATAAAAACTCATATCATCATTCTAATATATATGTATACAATTGTGGTTATTAAACATTCATTTGACTATAGCTATTATTACATCCTTTTTATGTAAAATATTCTAAATTTAAAATAAATTATATTATGACATTTCATTACATCATCCTGAAATCATCCAAAAGTATTACATCTTTATATTTTATTCTATATAGAATTATTTATCTTTTATAACAAAGCTTTTCAACATCCTCTCCATAATCCTCACAATTTATATAAAATTTCATATTATCAATGTATGTATGTGTGTGTGTGTGTATGTATGTATGTATATATATATATGTATATATATGTATGTATGTGTGTG